GAGCAGGGATTCGAGGCTGACATATTGCAAGCATCCTTTCTTCCTCCTCCTCAGCCAGAGCAGCGGGATTATAAAAGCAGCTTCCTACTGGCAGCTGTACGGACCCATCCCTGAGGCTAAGATGCAGCCACAAAGGCTGTGGTGTGAAGGCAGCCAGGTGGCAGAGCACCTGGGGCGGGCTTCCCCGAGTCTGCACTCGATCTGAGCCAACTTATTTCTTTCGCTGACTTGGAACATCACTTGAAAGGTAGGAAGGGAGCTGATCTTAATTCCTCCTTCAACATGACATGCCCTTTTGAAATCATACAAATAACAGTGTCTGATTGTCACGTTGAATTGCGAGCATGGATCTGAAATGTTCTGAAGTCTGACTAAAGCCAAATATTAGGTCATAAGTCAACATTTTTCTGAGAAACTTGGTTACTAAGAGGTTCAAAAATTTATATCTTTTCACAGGGAAACTTGTTTGCCGGCAGGAAAAAAATCTCAAAGACTGTTATCTTCTTACAGGGAGACAGAGATGTGTGTAATTTTGCAATGCAGGTTGAAGCCCTTCAGGATTTCTGAAATTGGATTGGTCCAGGAGCGAAGCTTTGGTGTAATGTTTGAATTGCTCCCTGAGGGAAAAGCCAACAGGTGGCACTGGTGTGTGTCATTTCTGACAAGGAGGTTGGGCAAATTAGTGTGAAAAGCTGGGAGCTGCTCGGTCCCGTGGTGGGAGGTCGTGTTCTATACACAGATCCTGAGGATGGAGAAAATCTGACAAGAAAGCACTCATCTTGGGCCACTGGCACTTAGGGTCTTGAAGGAAGGAAAATCTTGGTTTTGATCAGAGCCACAGTGGCACTCCCTGGAAACTCAGCACACATGGGGATTCAGTGGGATTTGGGAAGAGCCAGGGATAGTGCTGGTCCCGAAGCCCAGCAGCTTGTCCTGCTCTTCTATGTGTGAGGCTTCAGTGCACTGACCACGCCCACACTGAGGTCTTCAGCATCTGGTGTGAGCCCTGGGAGGAGGGGAGGGAAAGGGAGAGGGACTTCTGTGTGCTTGCTATGGAATGAAACCCGGCACTCTGTGGCACCTAGAACCTTGCACACTCTACTGAGAAGGCTAAGCACCTATCTCTGGTTTGCATCACGGGCCAAAACCTACAGCAGCCCCCATCCCTCAGATTCTGGAACCCTCGTCAAAGTTAGAATCCTGGTTCTGGATATAAGTGAACATTAGTTACTGCAAAGGTGGGGTGGAGCTGGAGACTCCTGTGGAGACCCCTGGTGGGATAATCTTTTCTTCAAGTGTGTTTGGTATTTATGTTTCTTGTTGGGAGTTGGTTCCTGCCTGGGACGCATCTTAATCCTCCCATCCCCCCACCTCCTGGTCCACTTTTCATTTGCAAAAAAATCTATCATCCTATTTCCTTATTTTGCTCATTATTTATACTTTAGTTTTCTCCTATAAGAGAAACCATGGGATAGTTAAGCTTATGTGTCTGACGTATTTGACTTAACCTTCCGGTCTCCAGGCACACCCATTCCCCTCTAAATGACTCAGCTCTATCCTTCTTTAGAGCAGAGTGGCCCTGCATTATGTGTAAATACCGCATTTCCTGTGTCCATTCATCTGCTGATGGACATGTAAGCTGCTTCGGGGATTTAGCTATTATGGGAAGGAATAATCTGAGGCCCTTGAATCTTACAGAATGTACTGTCACCAGAAACTGGCTCCTGTACAAATGTAGGTGTGGGTGCATATGTACAAATGTGCAGTGTGTGTGTGTGTGTGTGTGTGTGTGTGTGTGAGCTCATCCTCATGTCAGGCCAGGGAAAGGCAAGTGGCAGAAGCTGCCTGGCACCATAACAAGCAGGTACCTGTTCCTAATGGGTTCTTCCCAGGAGACCAAGCTCCACATCTGTTCATGCTTCATATTAAGTCACGGCTGCCCACAGGCACTGAACCCACAACCATCACCCTAAGGGGGACCAGTCAGGTTCTAAGCAGAATAGTGAGAGGATCAAACTTACCTGTGTCCCTCCCATTCCCCAGGGGCTGTCACCAGGGAGTAGCTTCTTCCGCTTGCCCTGCATCTCTTGTGCTCCCCTTGCATATCTGACCTGCACAGCTCAGTCCTCCATGGTTAGGTTCCACACTCTGCAGGGATGAGTGAGAGATGGGCCCATTCCCTCAGGGCCCTCCCTGCTGCATGAGCTGGGCTATAGCTGGAGTCTGCACATCTTTCATATATAACCAAAATGACTGGCATTAGGTTGATTACTTTTCTCCCGCTGCTGAGACAAAATATTCAACACTCAAAGTTAAGGAAGGAAAGGTTTATTCAGCTCACAGTTTTTGAAGATTTAAGTCCATAATCAACTGGCTCCAAGGCAGGTGGCATGGCAGAGGGGCGACAGTTCATGGCAGCGGAAGATGGCAAAAGCAACCCGAGCAGAAGGAAAGGAGAGCAGAGGAAAACTGTTTCTGTATTAAATTGTATGCAGGCTACCCACACTAGGGCATTTGTAGCACTCACACCCATAATGGCAACAGTGGACCATAAATCAATCACGAACTCTAGAAGTCCACTCCATGACTATATGAGGCTTTGGAGGGACGTCCGGACACAAACCGTAACATTCCACCCCTGGCTTCCCAAAGACACATGTACATCCCTTGTGCAAAAGACATTTAGTCCATCTCTAAGAGTTGCCAAAGTTCTGACTGTTTCAGCATCACTGAAAAGTCCAAGTCCCAAGTCTCCTCTAAGATCTAAGGCAAACTCTTAGCTACATACCCCTGTACCCCTGAATGAAAAGTTAAACACTTCCAACATTCAGTGGCACAAGATTGACATTACTATTTCAAAAGGTACAAACGGAGATACAGGGATTGGGACCAGAACAAGTCAAAATCCATCAAACAAACATTAAGTCCTGTAGTTCTATGTGGAACATACAGAGCAACCTGTGGTGATTTGTGGGCTCCAAATGACTTGCATGACTCCACCCCTGAGTACTTCCAGTGTTTATAGCTCCCAGAGCTTCTCTTTTAGGTCTGCTCTGCTCAATCCTTGCAGATTTCCGTAGATGATCCATATTCCTGGCTTTTCCAAACGTCTGGGTTTTCCACTGCACTTTGGGCTTAACACTCACAACTCCCCATATCACCCTGTCAGGGCACACTTCCCGGCCTCCCAGGCCTTCTGGCATCTGGGTGGAATCCTTCCTAACCTCAAACTCTCAAATTCTGCTTTCACCTAAAACCAGTGCCACATGGATGATGCCAAGGTCTGCTGTGAGATGGAGGAATAGCCATGTTTTCCTCTTTCTTGACTGTATAGGTTGAGTGCCTGGATCACTGAGCACACTTGATCTGATTCTGAGGAGTAAATTCTGCATGTTGCTGCCATTCTGGAACATGGTGCTCTGCGGCTTTCTCCTCAAAGCAAAGTCTCACTTTTTCAGTTTTGAGGTTGTAAAGGGTAGAGGCTTGCTGCTGCTTGTGAGGCCCTTAGGTCATCTTTTATATTCTTCTGTTTCTTCTCAGCAATTGAGATCTCCTCAGCTTTATCTTTTTGGCCCACAGATTTATTGATGCTTCCTTTCTGACCAAACTCACAACCTTTTAAATCATTCTGCTGGGCTTTTTGCTCTTGATTCTCAACATAAATCTGGCTAAAAGCCCCAACAATAGCCGTGCCACCACCTTAACCTTTGAATGACTTGAAATTTCTTCTGCCAGATTAATTAGTCTGGTGCTCTTAATCTTAGTGTCAGATGAAATCTCTGGACATGAGCAAAATGCAGACAAACTTTCTACCCACTAATAACACACATTGTCTGGACTCCAACAACCAATATATTTTTTTCCAGCAGAAACCTCCCAAGCCTGGCCTTTTTTGGCAAAATTTCTATCAGCTTTCTAGTCTTCTGAGCTCTGCCCAGAAACTCCTATACAGAACAGCCTAAGGCATTCCAGCTCTGCTCTTTCAGGCATCATCCAAACCTTTCCAGACTCTTCCCACAAGCCATTCCCAAGGGCTGTTGAACCACTTAATCAGGTGCAGTCACAGCAATGACCCCACTTCTCTGGCACCAAGCTCTGTATCTGGTATCAAATTCTTACTTTTTCTTATTGCTGTAACAAAATACTTGATGCCCAAAATTAAGCAAGGAAGGTTTATTTAGCTCACAGTTTGTGTAGGTTTAAGAACATAACCAGCTGGCTCCAAGGCAGGTTGATATCACAGAGGAGCAACAGTTCTTGGCAACAGAAGATAGCAGAAGCACAAGAACAAAAAGGGAAGGAGAGCATAGAGGAAACTCTTTCTGTCCCTTATATTGTATGCAGGCTACCCCTAGGGTGGGTACCCTGCATACACTCCCGGTCCCAGCATTGGACCATGAATCAATCGTGAGCTGTAGAAGCCTGACCCCATGACTGCATGAGGCTTCGGAGGGACATGGAGACACCATCCATAACGGGCATCAACCAACAGTGGCACTCATGGGCTAGAGTATGATAGATGAGTTTGCCAGGCTCTCTGGTGGGCAGGACTGTGATGATGGTTCCTTCAGATCTTGCTGTCTTAGTTACTTTATGCTTGTCGCTGAGACAAAATACCTGATGCCCAAGTTCAGAAAGGAAAGGTTTATTTCTTACAGATTTTGGAGGTTTCAGTCCACACTCAGTTGGCTCTATGGCAGGCAGGCATGGCTGGGCTGCCTTTCATGGCCGCTGCAAACTGCAAACAGGAACCGGCAAAGAGCAAGACACACCTTCTTCCTGCCATTACATCACATCCTGGCTCCACCCGTATGTGGGTGCAGCACTGACACCATCAATTCAAGCACTAGACAATGAATCATCACAAATGCACAATGCAAACTCATGAGGCCTGGGGGACACAGACATAAACCATGACACTTGCCATAGAGATGTCTCACTGCGCAAACCTGATGTAGCAGGTCAGACCTGCTGATTTCATGGTGATTTTGGTCTTTCAGGCAAAGAAGGGGAACTACGCCTTTCTGTGGGATGTGGCCGTGGTGGAGTACGCAGCTCTGACGGACGACGACTGCTCTGTAACTGTCATTGGCAACAGCATCAGCAGCAAGGGCTATGGGATTGCCCTGCAGCACGGCAGCCCCTACAGGGACCTCTTCTCTCAGAGGTAGGCATAACCGATGGGTTGACCCCAGCATCCCCCACCTCCAGCAGCAGGAGCAGAAGAATGCCTTCTCATAGGAGCTCAGGGCAGACGCACTCCCATGCATTTGTCACATCTTGTACACAGACTGTGTACCAGTGTTTCCTCCTCCCCTCAGCTAGGGCCTGAGTAGGTGCTGGATTCAAAGAGGAGGTACATCGTCTCTTCCTAAGCAGGCATCTAGTGCTGCTGACAAGGTTCACTGTCAGGGTGCTGGGGTGGGTGGCAGACAGAAGAGGGCATCTACAGACCCAGGAGACCTTCCAGAGTTGGCACCATCAGAGGCCTGGAGGAGTAGAAATTAGCCAGATCAATGAATAAGGAATAGGTTTTGGGAAGGGCTGAATAATCACCTTTAACGGGAGATATGCCATGTCTCCAAAGGGGTAATTGTCATGTGAAAGCTTAGAATGTAGATCTGGGTGGCAGAATGTCCCCTTCTTCATCTGCACATAGCCTGAGGGACTGCAGATGGTAGAATAGGAGTTTCCTGGTGCAAGGAGATGCTGCCTGTTGGTTTTCTATTGCAGAGAGTCATCCTCCTCCCTGACTCACCGGACCAGAATCCAGGTTTTTAAGCCTGCTTTAGCTACCTAGTAGTAAGCATTAACCAATAATATGGGCACCAGAGGGGAAAGCTACAGGCAGGGGGGTTCCAGCCTCAGCGGAGCCCACGGTAGCCTTTCCCAGAAGCAAATGCAGTGGGTCTAGTTTGCTTTTGCCCACTCAGCTTCCCATGGGACTTACTGGTGTAAGTCCATCCCTTGAAGCTTCTTAGGACATGGTCAAGTTTCTAGCTACCTGATCTGGGCATCTGGCTGCTTTCTTGGGAAAATTAGTCCTCAGCCTTCCACCTCAGTGACCGGGCATTAGACAAACTGGACTGAAGATAAAAGCTCAGTGGCCTCTTCCCAGCAGCCAGTCTTCCATTAGGGACTCCTGTCCCCGAAGGTCTCCGTGCCTTTGGCCAACTCTGGCACAGGTCTATGAGATCGCCTCCTGCTGGGTGAAGGTGGAATTGCAGGGCCCAGTGAAAAAGCCAACCAGTGTTGGTCTCCCAAATTCAAGCTGTAGCGGAAGTGCCCAGGTAGCGTAATGTCAGCCTCTAAGTGCAGTGGGTAAAGCTGGGTGTGGGGTAGGACTAGTTAAGGTAAATGAGGCTCTGGGTTGTTTTTCTAGAATTTCATCAAGTATGCACTCTGTGCTTTTCTCTATGCTCTGGAGCAGAGCACTGTGATGCAAGATGAGAAGGAGTGATTTGTCAGTTGCTCCAATTCAAGGCATGAAGAGGCGAGGCTTTCTCCCTAAACTGTAGTGCACATTGGCATTCTTGCGCTTTGTCCTGGCTGGCTTTCCTGCCTGGGAGGTTCAGGGTGATTGCACAGACCAGCAATCTGCAGGCGGCTCAGTGGAGCAGATGTAAGGAAGCCCATGAGGCCCACACAGCAGTAACATCCAGACAGCGAACACAACCCTAGACAGCAGTGCTCCCCGAAGCACAGTTTGAGTCCCTGGAGCCGGAATTCCTGTTAGCTCCTGTGAGTCTGCAGAACTGAACATCTCCTCTCAGAGAGGAGAGAGCAGATGACCAGGTAACATGAGACTCCGCCAGGTTGGTAAAGGGACTCAGGACAGTGGGAGCCTGAGCTTGATTAGAAGAAGGCACGAAGACTCTGACACTGGAGAAGGAGGAGATGAGTAGGGAAGAGCGTGGTCCCTCTCCTGCTGTACCAGGTGATGAGGAAGTAGGTGGCATTTGTGCGGACCATGACCAGCTTGGAGCTGGCCCTGGATCAGCTGTGCACAGGACCCATCTGTTCCATCACTGTGAGGCTTCTGGGGCTTCTCCCGCCCCTCCTCGTGGTCACCATGAGCACAAGTGGCTCGTCCAGTTTTCACGTCATTCCTGCAGTACGTAGCCCTCTTTGCTTTCTCAGATGGCCACGCGCTCGGTGTCTTCACTGTGACACTTGTCTCCATGGTGAAGCCTTTCCTGGGCTAGTGGCACCCTCCGGGCAGACAGGTGTCTGCTGCTGAGGGAACACTCAGCCCTCAGGTTGCCAGCCTCTTTCTGCCACAGTTCTGCATTGAATCCTGGGTGCAGAAGTGTGTGCTGCCTTGGAAGCGCCCTGGAAGGCTGACAAGGCTGGTCCTCAGGCAACACATCAAACCGTTTGCAGAAAAAGGGTCCCCACATAAGTAGCAGACCTCAGCCTTATTATCTAGCACCTATCTGGAGCCCTCGCCCCTGTCCTTTGGGGAGCTAAGCTGTTTCCTTGCTTTGGCAGAGGACACGATGTAGACGTACGCATGAGTAATGGGACTGTAAGAGGTTTACAGGCCGCAGCATGCAGAGTGGGCATTCAATAAATGTTTAGCAACTTAATAGCCATTTATTGAGCACCTACTGTGTTACAAGCTCCACAAGTATTGAATAAAGGCAAACACCTGCAATTATATCTGTCTGGAAAATAGAACCACTGGCTACAGCCAGTGGCTATTATTGCTCTGGCTTCCTCGTAAGTGGGATACGGATTATTATAGCGTGCGCTCGTTTAGCCCTATTCTGCACGGTCCTTTGTTCCTGGAATTTGCCTTTCCCGCTGCATCTGTACTTCAGTTTTCTTTTGTGTTTGTCTGTCTTGCCTTTAATGCTGTGTCTTCCTATAAATTGCCTTCCACTCTTTCTGTGCATGAAAGATGTGCACCATTCTGGGTAGCCAAACAGTTGAGAAGATCAGCAAAATTAAACAGCCCACCTGATGTCACGCAGGAGAGGCGAGGATCTGACCCCACCGTCTGGCCAGAGCCTCTCCATCCCCTGGACCCGAGTTTGGCCCGCAGAGAAAAACTGCTGTTCCACAAGGAGACGGCCTCCCTCACCAGCGCCGTCCAGGGCTGAGCAGCAACACTGCTGTTTTCTAATTAAAACCTTGGCCACATCGTCTGGTCTCTGAACCTAAGTCTTCTCGTGGTGTAACAGCCATAGCAGGGCTGCTCTGCAGGCTGTTGGTGAGGATTCAGGCAGTGTTAAGGGTTTGCTCCTTCTGCGTTCTCCTAGGAGGTGGCTTAGCTCAACAGTGGCCTAAGAAAGCTGCTGTTAACGCAGCCCCAGACTGTGTGGCCGTCACCCTCCCTTTCTGCAGTCCTTAGTACTTGTCATGTCTTGAGCCAGGGTTCTCGCAGGTAGGTGGTTTTTTACCCTTGAACTGAAGTGGTAGGAAAGCTGAGTTTGAGGGCCTCAGAGTGTGGGTTTGAACTAATGTTCATCAAGCAGTTTATGTCTGTCAGTGCCGAGTCTTCTCCATCTGCACGGGGACTCCTTCATTCAGCTGGTGGCATGTCCAGGGCCCCAATGCCTTGTGCAGTGGGTGCTTTGTCTGCCAGGAGCTTTAACTCGTTCCACCTTGCCAGCTGGGGCTTAATTAAGGTAGCTGTCCCGACATAATCAAAGCCACGTAAAATAGCCAGTGAGACCCTGCCGCTGCCCCATTAATCATGCAACGTGGGGAGACAGCGGTGGTGCTCCCTGTTATCAGGAGCATGACCAGAGCCATGCAGAGGCGCGAGTACATCATGCATTTACCTTGGCCACCAGGTCCCACCATGCACAGCCTCTTCCCGAGTCCTGTGTGCTCCTCAGTGCCCTGGCAACACAGTCGACACGACATTATGGTCTCACAGGGCCACTTCAGTGTAGATTAGTGTTCATTATTCAATATTATATGTTTATTGACAAAATAAATATCTGCGGATAGCCTGGGCTGTACCGGCCCATGTGCTTGTAATAGGGTGGACACGGAAAGCAGCCCCTCTCCTGAAGCCATTGCCAGGCTCCTCTGGCGGGGACGGGTCAGCAGTCTGTGCTGGGAAGAGGGGGAAGCTGAGGTGAGCGGGAGAATTCTCTTGTCCCGGAATCCTCGGCTGAGATCTTGTGCCTCCAGGGCCTGTCTTTTGCACTGATTTGGGCCTTTTCAAGGCAGTGAGACCTGTGTCCTGCTGTGCCCATAAGGCTATCAGATCCTCTTGGCCGTCGCCTGTGCTCCCAAGTCTTTGCATGGTCACCACCAGAGCGCAGACCTGTGGTCACAGCAGGCTGCAGTGCAGTCCGCGGCGGGGTCTCTGCGGCCATCCAGCAGGGCTTCTCCTGGCTCGTTGTGAGCCAGGCTCAGGAGCTCTTCTCCCCGGTGGAAGAGCCTGTACACTGTGGACCTGGGGCACCTCGCTGCCCCTGCCTCACTGTTTAGACTCCTGGGTTTCAGAGGAAGCCGCAAAGCCCTGTAACAGCAGAAAATCATTGTGAGGACTCTGGGATCAGGAGTTGGTCCACTCCACAGCGGCACACAGTGCACAGTCCTGACTCCCTTTCCTGCTGGGGCTCTGTCCATCTCACTTCCTTCACCTTCTGGCCCTTTGCTTTGGGCTCAGCACCCTCTCTGCTTGTGTGTCAGCACCTTAAAGCCCTGGAGCTGCTGCCCGGGACAGGGACACACAGGGCTCAGCCTCGGGAGGGTTCTTCTTGCCTCGAATGCCAACCCTGCCAACCTCAAAGTGGCTCTGGCAAGCTGTTTCACCTCCGTACCCCACTGACCTTCTCTGAAAAAATGAGAAAATAGAAGTCACCACCTCAGAGTGTCAGCAAGAGGACTCGCTTGACAAGCTCTTGGTGTGGTCCTTGGCCCAGAGACCCTGCTGGGCGATCAGCAGTCCCCTACTGTTGACTCCTTCTCAGTGCCCTCCCAGTCCTCCAGTCTAAGTTCCCTCCAGATTCACCCCTTCCTGGCCAGCTACTCCAGTTCACTGTATTTCTCAGAGCCCAGGTCTTTCCACCCGTCGCTCTCCGGGCTTTCTGGTTGGTGTCTGTGCTTCGAGGCCACAAGCTCAGCAGTGCTAAACGTCACACCTGGAGCAGGCCAGCGACTCCTTAAGTCAAACAGACACATGAACTATGTTGTGGATCCTAGTGGGACAAAGTAGGATAGAGGTGCTGTGGGCCCCTTATTCAAAATGCTTGGGTTCGGAAGTTTGGGTTTTTTTCCTGATCTTGGAATATTTGAGATCTCTTGGGGATGGGACCTAAGTCTGAATGTGCAATGTGTGTATGTTTTATATACACCTTAGGCACATAGTCAGAAGGTAACGTTACACAGCATTTTAAATTTATGCATGAAACAGGGCCAAACCATCAGAGGGCATGTTGATGCTCAAAGTTTCATATTTTGGGGTATTTCAGAAGGCGGATTTTGGATTAAGGATGCTCAAACTACAGTCTTTGAGTTTTGAGGGAAAAGATTCTGGGGATCTGAACGACCTAACCCCACAGCCTGTGTGTCTGTCCACTTCACTTCTCAGTGGTCCAGTTTTACCCCTGCACGTGGTGCGCTGCCCACATGAAGGTCCCCTGAACGGTGCCCAGGGACTTGTCCCTGGCATTGGGATGGGGTGGAGGAGACCAGGGGACCTGGTGTGTTTGGTGAAAGCTGTCTGCCTGTGGCGTGCCGATGAGCTCAGGAGGGAAGCTGAGGCAGAGAGCAGCCAGGATGGTTCAGGGTTGGTTGTCTGTGGTGGGACCAGCATGGTGGGATGGTGGCTAGGACTCCGCGGCTAATTAATGAGCTCAGTGGCTCTGGTTCACCTGGCTTGTGTCTTGCAGGATCCTGGAGCTGCAGGACACCGGGGACCTGGATGTGCTCAAGCAGAAGTGGTGGCCGCACACGGGCCGCTGTGACCTCGCCAGCCACTCCAGCGCCCAGACCGACGGCAAGGCCCTCAAGCTGCACAGCTTTGCCGGGGTCTTCTGCATCCTGGCCATCGGCCTCCTCCTGGCCTGCCTGGTGGCCGCCCTGGAGTTATGGTGGAGCAGCAACCGGTGCCACCAGGAGACCCCCAAAGAGGTCCGTACAGGGCACCTCTGCCTTCTACAGCGTGGAGGCCGGAGGGTCGCATGGGGCCATGGCTGGGTGGTTTCCGTCCAGTTAGAGTTCAGGAAAGTCACCCAGAGACCACCAGAGACAGTGGCATTTTCTACTGGGGCGTAGTTTCATTTTGATTTTAAAGCAAGAGGGGAACAAAGAGTAGTCCTAAGGGAGGATGTTTCTATGTTTGAACAAAGTGCTGAGGTGCCAGCCACAGCCACTAAAGTCCTGTATTTATCTATAGAGCAGGTACAGCGTGGGCAGCGCCAGAGAGCCCTTCCCTACCCTGCCCCGCCCACGCGCCTCCACCCAGGCCTGGAGAGACCAGCTGTAGGGTAAGCGAGGAGCCCGCACCTTCCCTCCTGGTTCTGTCTGCCTCTTGCCTAGGGCTGCAGTGCAGAGGGAACCCCTGCTCCTCCCGCCACCTTTACTCCGTCACCCTCCTCTCAGGGCCCACTTGCCCACCTCCCTACTGGGTACACCCCTTGGGATGGTCGCTCCGTCCAGACTCGGGGTGCAGCACCCTCTTTGCGTGTGCCTACCGCAGTGGACCCTGTTCCTCAACCTCCTCCTTGGGTGTGTGCTCTTCTTCAGGCTAAGCTTTTGCTTTTTAAGTGAAGGCGTCATGAGGGTCCCTTGGAGACACCCTGAAACAGGGTGGCAGGGCATGTTGTTTGGTGAGGACGGTGCGGCTGTGGCAGCTGCGGCCGCCCAGCCATCTGTGACACCAGCCTGGCCACTCTCTGTGAGCCTGTCACTCCCTGCCACGTGCACCTGGCTGCATCTGGAACCACAGCTCTGCTTGCTAATTTTGTGGGAGCGGAAAGACATAAGTCTCAAACGGGAAACAGCACAACAACCAGCATTGAGCCCCAAACTGGTCCTTTTTGACAAGAACTTCGCCTGTTTTTGTTCTTGGGTGACATGTGACAAGGTCATAAAAATGGCTTCCGAGGCAGGGACTCTCGGAGAAACTCAGAGTGCACTGGGGTGGGCAGGGAGAGCTGGCCGTGTCCTTCTGAGCCTGACCTGGGGCTGGGGCTTGGCGCCTCTGAACAGTAAGGACTGTCACCAGGGTTTGCACACCCTGCTCAGCTCAGCATCGGAAGGGAGCCGCGCCACAGTGGCTTCCCCTCCATCCTCTCTGGATTCCCTGCCCCCCAGCGGCAGCTGACTGTGCTCCTCCTTACTCTGGCTGGGAAGGAGGCAACTGCTGAGTCTGCATCTGAAATAACCCAGAGCGTCCCTGAGCCTCCCCAGTAGCTGCATTCCTCCCTGCCAGGAAACCAGCTTCTGCATCACCTGGGTAGCTCTCTGCTGGCTCTGGGACCACAAGAGGGAAAGAAAGAGGAAGCTTAGGGAAAATCTACAGCAAGGCATAGTTGGGGTTCCCTTTCAAGCTTTTATTTGCAAATGGAAAATCCTTCAGGGAGAATCCTGAATTCCCTGGTGAGCGGCTTTAGGGAGGAGCCCCGTCCCTCTGATGCTGGCTCCCTCATCAGCCTCTGCCAGACATGGCCAGGGACCCTCTCCCACTGTCACCAGCCAGGCCTAGATGAACAGGAGCCTCTGAGGGCGACAGGGTGGGGTGGTCCCCAAACCACTGCAGTAGGAGCTGGGAGGACAGGGCAGTTGGAGACACACTGGCCAGCCCCACTGCGCCCCTGCCTGGGTTGTTTGGGGGTTTGACTTTTCCTACATCTCCTGCCCAGTTTCCTCTGTAAATACACCCCTCCAGCAGGGGCAGGGGCAGGGGCAGGAGCAGGGCCCAGGGGAACCGGGCGATCTTCAGAAGGGTGAGCTTGCACTGTCATGGAGATGCTTGTCCAGCTGGTGTCTGAGTCGCAGGCTCCAGGAGGTCCAGGGGAGGCTGGAAATCCTGGGATAGTTCCAGCCCGGGCCACCCAGATTTCATTGTTATGCGGGGAGTGTGTGCATGTGCGTAGACACCCGTGTGTGCACGTCGGGGAGTTAGGTGAGGAAGTAAGAATGATCAGGCGTTGGAGAAGCACAGGCAGGAAGAGGGAGGCGACCAGAGACCGGAAGAGCCAGAGATGACCACGCTGTCCTCGCGGCTGCTTGCCTGGCAGTACAGGGCCTTCTCTTCTCTTCTCCTCTGGCTGTGACCTACAGCCCGCTGATCAGGGCTGTCCAAAGTGAGTGACAGGTCCCACCCAAGTGCAGGGCAAGCCCAAGTGCATCTAGCTCCTGGTGGAAGGGTGGTGCGGATTTCTGGGCTCAGAGCTGTTAGGATGGGGACCCATCCCAGGGCTGGAGATGAGAAGGGAGGTTGCTGATAGGGTGGGGAGCAGGGAGCTGCTGAGAGAAGAGGCCGGAGGAGGCTGCAGGATCTGCCCGAAGGACTAAGCCCGGGCCAAGGGCTCCTTCTGGGACGCCGGCCACGGTTCTCAAGAGGCAGAAGCCTGTCTTTGGGTGGAGCCCGCGCCATGTTCAATGGCTTGTGCCGGGCGTCTTCGGAGTTCTGATGCCTTTTAGGGAAGAGCAGTAATGTTCATTTGGCCCTTAATATTCATGCCCATCTGAGCTCGTATTTTTTTTTTCTGAGGAATCAGACAATTATGTAGTTACCCAGTGCAGGTGAGCGAGCCAAGCCCGGGCTGCGGTGAAGAGCCACCCGCTAGATTTATGGGGTGTGTGGAGCCCGTGCTCGGAGAATAAAATATTCATGAAATAAAGATGAGAACCACGCAAATGGGAGCTGACACGAGGCGCCAGAGAGGACACATTCATCACGGGGTGGAAGCTTCCTGCCTTGCCTGGTTCCATGCGGGACAGAGGCAGGAGGCTGTGTCGCTGCTGGTCCCTCTGTTTCAGGAATCCCCCTTGAGCCCACCCTCCATGGGAGCTGGGGTCCCAGGGACCCCCTTCTACTCCGCGCCCGTCTGTGGCCCCGTCCCCTTGGTGCTTTCTCTACTCTGTGCAGAGATTTCCTCTTTCCTCTTCCCATCTGCCAACCCAAGGAGTGTAAAGTGACTTATGGATGTGCCCGTCCCAGCACTGTGCTAGGTGGGTGGTGGCCAAGGGCTCCGCCCTCCTGAGGACGTGGAGATGGACAGGAGGGATGTAAAGGAAACACGTTACACCTGAGGACACCGACCCTGCATGGTCTTGAGGAAGTGACCCGCTGTCTTCATAATGCTCTTTGGCAGCCTTCAGGCAGGTGTCCCTATGCCCAGAGAAGGGACAGAAGTGGCCAGGGCCAGGCCGGGAGTAAACTGTATTCTTCCAGCGATAGGTCATCAGCGAGCCAGGACACGGGGCTTCCGTGGGGAGTGTGCAGAGGGCTGGGGGTGGTGTCATGGCTTCCTGCTTGCCTTTCTCAGAGGACTTTGGGAGTGGAGGGTCAACTTGGGTCTTCCATGGGCTGCACTCCTGGTGCAGCCTCTGTATTCTCTGAACATTGGTTTCCCTCCTGTGTGGAGAACCGAGCCTGACCAGTAGCTGCACTGTGGAGGTCAGAAAGCATGGCACAGGGTACAGAGAGTGTGGGCGCACGATTCAGGCCTTTGCCCAGGGCCGTCCGGGGGAGGCCTTGTCCACTCACTACACACCACACTGCAGCTCAGAACCAGCTCACTGGCAAAGCCTGCCCTGCTTCCAGGGCCGGCTGCTCCCTCGTTGGATGTGAGTCTTCTTTGCCGGTGATCATTTACCTGTCTGTCTCTGCTTCCCATCCGCCAGCACCTCCTCAGCCCCACATTCCCTAATGCAGAGGCTCCTGTTAAGGGATGATGAGGTATCCAGCATCTTCCATGTGCCAGGACCCAAAGACGAGTGCTTTACCGAGAGCGTTAGCTCATCTGGTGGTAGGGGCTCCAGAGTATTTATTGAATGAATGAACCAGGCTGGGCTCCCATAAAGGCAGTGTTACTCAGGCTAAATCGTTGTGTAATCATTGGAGCTGGATCAATGGCTTGCAGTTCTGGCTGCGCATCAGAGGTGATTAATTCTGAAGCTTTTTAGAAATGCAGATACCTGAGCCCCGTTTCCCAAAGGCTCACCCTCAGGATATTCCTGAAGTCTCCACATGTGCTTCTGATATCCTGCCTAGGATGCAAACTTTCCCCCAGGGGCACACTCGCTTTCCTCAGAGGAGTTTGGGAACATCTAGCCTGCTAGAGTGGAAGAGGGACTGGCTTTGGAGCTGGGTAGCCATGAGCACTCTTGCTAATCTCCACTTACCCTGGAATTTATAATCCTGGGCAAATCCTTTCTCTCCAAGCCTCGGTTTCCTCCTCTGTATCTTCGGGGCTCCTCCATGTGATGTGGAGTGGCTGTAGGTCCCTCTCGTAGCCCTGCCCTGCAAATCTGCAGTTGAGCTGATTGGAACTCTGTGTATGACATTTTATAAAACCGCCCATCATTCCCTGAGATCACTTTGTTGACTTAGCGTTTGGCTTTGCTCTTCCCATTCAGGATTCTTAGACCCCAAGCTTGGCATACATCTTGGGAGCAGGGCTTAAGAAGTTCACGCTGGTGGCTTTCTCCCCACCGCTGGGTCTCATTTACCAGCTGGTTGGTCTCTGGTTTTTAGAGGATGCTGCCAACAGCTACCCCAATCAGGTGACAAGTCCCTTGTCTCTAGTTTTGTTCCTGTCCAACTTAAAACAGGAGCTGTTGGACTCCAAACAAAGTCAGTGCTAACGAGGCCCCAGTGGAACAAGCTGTTACATAGACGATAGTTTAATTACCATTTTCCAATACACTGGATTATTTCCACGTTGGTGAACACTGACTTAATTACAGAACTTTATCTCTCTGCAAGACGATGCCGGAGCAGGGTTCCCCAGTAACCTCTGCTGGTGCATCTGCTGTCATGTTTAATATGGGGTGAGATATGTGGAGCTGGAATCCAGCCGATTCGTGGGTAGATGAAGCCAATGAATTTTATGTCATACGTGGGGATGTTTGAGTAGGTCAGTTACCCATGGTAGATTAATGAGACAGCCGTAAGTTTCCAGGTCTCTCCACAGCTGTCGTTACCTGGCTGAACATCTAAACCTTGGGATAATGAGGATGTAAACGAATGTAGTTCACATAAAAAAGCCCATTATTTGAATTTGCATAACATTATAGAATGCACCATTTTGCCCAAACGATGGACATTTATTCAATCACTCTTGCACACGGCTCGGGTGAGCTGCGAGCACCTGTCTTCTCTGTCCTTGGCTAGAGATGCAGAAGGTGCAGGTGGACGTGCAGTGACCTTGTGCACGCTGTCTGTATCCCCAGGTGATGTGGGAGCACAGAGCTCTCCGGACCCCAAGCCACTGGCCCTCTGCTCGCTGCTCCTCATCCCTAGCCCTGCAGGCTGCTTCCTGGACCCAGACACAGACTGGCTGTCTTGCTCTCTGGGGCATCAGGGAAGTATCTGCTTCTAGTGCAACCCACTTTCGCGTCCATTTAAGCCACCATATGAGACTCTTGAGAGTCCCCTCCTCCCAGCTGGTCTTCATGGGGATAATGGGATCTGAATAGAATGAGGGCCTTGATGCAGGAGGTCGGCTCCTTGACAGCCATGTGGCATGAGCAGCTCTCCCTGGGAATTCTGGTCAATTGATGTGGACATTTGCTGGGTGTCCCCGTGCGGAGAGGTTAAAAGGCTAATAAATAACTGCACAGCCCTGCAGTCCTGGGGACAAGTCCATCCCTCCTTAATTTGAGGAAATTGAAGAATATGTGAATTGAAGAATCTGTCTGAGCCCCTTCCTTGAGGCGTCTTGATTTGAAAGTGATTGGCCACCTCCAGTGCCCCTCCCCGGGTTGGTCTTTATTCTAAGTGCTTTGCTATACCCGACTAGCTCCTCCCAGCTGCACTTAGGGTTCTAGCTTGGTATCCGTGCCCTGGCACTTTCCCAGGCCTGCCCCTTCCTCCTCTCCCTGTGCTTCGGTGGTGAAGGCGTCCACCTCCAGGAGACTGCCTCCATGTTTTCTCTTCAGAGAAGAGGTGTTTTTTGTTTGTTTGTTTGTTTTTGTACTAGGGATCGAACTCACGACCTGGTGTTTGCCAGGCAGGTGCTTATGCCACTGAGCTAAATCTCAGGCCCTCCTTAGAGGAATTTGATCTGCCTGTGTCCACTCCAAAAGCTCCCTGTGTTTTGCTGGCCTTAGATAGAGTTCCTTCCCTTTGCCCCTTCCCTCAACTCCCTGTTTCCCTGGCCTTCTGGGACAGGAAATTATCCTTTGTTTCTTCAAACCCTAGCAAAACCAAAAACTCCTAAGTAGTCTGCCCTGGCTCAGACCTTAATTGACTCTGAGCAAAATGGCCAGGCTCTCCCTTCTGACTGCCAAAATCCAGGTGAACAGCTCAGACCAAGACACTTGCTCCCGGCTGCTAATTAGTCCACTCTTAGACTTTATTTCCTTCGTCCCCAAAGGGGACCTGAAAGTCCAGAAGTGAACAGAAAGGAGGAAGAGGCAAGATTAGGCCATTAGCTGGTTCCTTCCAGGGTCCCAGGGCTGCGCGGTCACCAGGCTCCTCTACAGAAACAAGTCCGTCCTGAGGACTCCTGCTTCTCTGACTTCTCAACCTTTACGGCTGCAGTGAAGACAGTTAGTTATCCACTTAAACCTGACGTTGTCTGAAATCCTTTGTCTCCAGCTTCCGTGCTCTCTAGTGCCAGTCCTTGAAGCCCTTTGTACCTTTTGAGATGGAAATAGCTTCTGGGTCCAAATATTTACTGAAACGATTGTGGCACCGAGGGTGGCCAGTGCACGTAAGGGAACGGTGGCATCCTGTATCAGAGCCACGTCCTGCGTCAGAGGCCTCATCGGCGCTCGGAGTAGCCATAAAAAAGCTGGAGGTGTGCAGGGTTGGTGAGGACCAGAACTGGAGCCTGTGCAGAGGCCCAGGACCCCAGAGCTAGGAGGGTGGCTGGAGCAGAGCAGGGGGAATCACATCTGCCTACCCTAGGGACGCTATCACAAATAAGCTGGTTCATCAATTTAAATGGCTGGAGAGCCACCCGGGGGTTAGCAGATTTCTAGGTATGTCTGGTCCCTTGCTTTTGTTTGCTAACACTATTCCCCTGCCCTCCGCTTTCCAACCACCGTGAGCTGGGCTGCTCTGCCCTGCCACAGCCTTCCACCGTGACACTTCTGCCTAGGAGCCAAACGACCATGCACCGAACCCTCTGAAACCCTGAGCCAAAGGTGTCAGGTGTTTGGTCCCAGCAGTGGGAAGAAAGATCAGTACAGACACCAAGCATTTTCTGTGGCTTTATCCCCTTGTTCAGAGTCAGTCATCCCTCTTTCCATTGTTGGGGTCGTGGGGCTGGCTCTCGGCTAGGCGAGCAAGTCATCCGGCACGGCCGTTACCCAGGGTAGACAGTAGTTCCCCAAGAGCCTGAACCCTAGACTGCTTCAAGAGGGGAGCAGTGATACCATTCCAAAATGCCTCTTTAATAAATAATGACCTTAATCATCTTATAAAAGGCAAAACATAAAACACGGCGAAAAGGGGAATGTCACATGGAGCTGGCTCAGTCATGAAGACAGTAAGAACTCACGTTTGGTGTGTTATTTACCAGCGGTCCCCAGATTATCATTGTTCGTCTTGGTAGTTTTCACGCTAGGATGTTCCAAGAGTAAGATGCATTCAGTAGAAATCATACTTTGAAATCGAGCTGTTGTCTTTTCCAGGGCCAGCATGGTGTGCCCAGCAATGCCGGGCAGCTGCGGGCAGCCACAGTTTTCACCTAGCCCCGCACTCTGCAGAGGGCTGTGTGGCTAAGCTGGGATGCTGGCTCGGGTAGACAGAGCCAGCGTTTGCAGTTTGGGGATATTTTCAGTTTATGATGATTCTGCCTCCTAAGCCGAGGAGTACACGGTAGCAGCCTTTTGGAGGAGCCCCTGAAAGCCTTTCATGGATGGCATTTAGCAGGAAGAGCAGAAACCTGATGTCCTCCAGCCACTTTGCATTTCACCATGACACCTACCACCCCCAGCTCAGAGATGGTTTCCCAGGCCCAGGGAGCTGAACTCTGTTCCTCTGCGGCTTCTGATCACTGCAATCTGGGCTCTGCTTTGGGCCCTGTCAGTGACTCCCCGTGAGGCCAGGTCCCTCCCTGATACCAAGGCTAAATGAATTGACCCTCTCCTCCAGGAGTAGTTCTCTTATTTTAATTTCCTCCTGGCCTGAAATGAGTTCTCCGTTGTCTTGTGGATGTCATTAGCTTTCCTGTGCTGGGAGGAGTTTTGAGAGACAGTGACACCAGATGTCCCACCGGAAGTCAAACACCAGCTGCTGTCTTTGGGCTCACAATGATGCAGAGCAGTGGTCCCCCAGCCCCCTGCTGAGAAGGTTGGGATGAGGAGGAGAACACGGGATGCAGCATGAGATATGTTGAGTTCAGTCCTCCCATCTGGGTTGGTGCATTCCGGTGAGGGAGATGCAGCCCAGTTATTCAGGACGCCTCTTCCCCTGGGGACTCCTCATGACTGGCCCAGAAGAGCTCAATGCCCGTCATGGGGACAGCTTTATTCTGCAGGATTTCTTTTTCCTCCTGAAAACATATCAAGGGATCTAAGTTTCCTGGGATTTCCAGCATCCCTGTGAGGTGGGAAAGGCTTGGGCTCCTCTCTTCAGGATGCGATGTCAGTGTTCGAAAACCCACACGGTTGTCTTGAAAACGAACTTTAATGTGGTGTTTCTCTTGGGATTTTGCGTGGGAAGGGGCAGCCCATTGATGCTGATGTACCCACAGACAGAACTGCAGCTTCCGGGTTAGAAGCAGGGAGCTGGGTGGCCCTTCTCATGGGCACGGGCCAGTCTCCCCCCAACTTCATAGATGAATAGATGACCTCTTAAGCTTTCAAAGTGGTGTGACCACCTCCATTCACTTTCACATTGAAAGCAAGTCAAGTGATTAAAAAAGGATACAGTCCTGTTTATTTTATTTTTTGACACAAATAAACAGATTAAACAATCTGCTGTGATACTACTGCCCATGGGGTGGCAGTGTCCGGGTGAGGGTCACCCATCTGGGCAGCCTCAAGCCCTCATGGTACCAGCAGTCTGCTAACCCTAGAAAGTCCTCTCACTACCCCCACATCTCATCCCCACCCAGAAACCCACGCCTGCCCGTTAGCCTTCTGGACAGAGGCATGCCCACCCCCTCCCCGCCTCCCCAGAGGCATGGATGGAGCCATTGTAGGTGACTCGGTAAGACCAGACGCCTGCCCCACTCTGGGTTCCAGACCACTTGTGGCACCCAGAAGGCTGGTGACCCTGGTGAGGTGATTGAGTCTCCTTTGTGCAAGGCGGGGCCGAGCGTTCTGAGCTTTAAATGACAACCGCAGGGGATGTGCTAGGTGCCCAAGGATGTCCCCTCCATTCCCGTAGAGGGCTTCCACTTCTCTCCTTCTGTATCTGCCAGTTCTTCAAACTGTCTTGTCACAGGATTTCCTTGGCTTGTGGCCGTGATGCTAAGCTGAGTAAACGTGGCAGGGACACTGTCACCAAGGGTTTCCTTGCGTATCCTGGCCCACGGACTCCCCTCCGTGGCGGGCAGTGGGAGCTGGGGCAGGTGATGACGGGCAGCAGGCCGAGCAGGCCCATTCCGCCCAGTCCCCTGCCTTTGCTGCTGGGCCATTGGCCCCCGAGGGCCCCCCTGACTCCCCGTCTCCCCTCCAGGACAAAGAGGTGAACCTGGAGCAAGTACACCGGCGCATCAACAGCCTCATGGACGAAGACATCGCGCACAAGCAGATCTCGCCCGCGTCCATCGAGCTCTCGGCCCTGGAGATGGGGGGCCTGGCGCCCAGCCCGGCCCTGGAGCCCACGCGCGAGTACCAGAACACCCAGCTGTCCGTCAGCACCTTCCTGCCGGAGCAGAGCGGCCACGGCGCCGGCCGGACACTCTCGGCAGGGCCCAGCAGCAGCCTGCCCCTGCCGCTGAGCAGCGCGGCCACCATGCCCCCCATCCAGTGCAAACACCGGTCGCCCAACGGGGGGCTGTTCCGGCAGAGCCCGGTGAAGACCCCCATCCCCATGTCCTTCCAGCCCGTGCCTGGGGGGGTCCTCCCGGAGGCCCTGGACACCTCCCACGGCACCTCCATCTGACCGCACCGCCTGCCACCGCCCGCCCGCCCGCCCACCCGACCAGCAGAGCTTTTTAATACGAGAAACGACAAGACCACACACGCACACATGCACACACACGCACACAGACTCACACACACACAGAGACTCTTTCATGTTTCTTGTACATACGTGTAAATAATGACAGAATGGAGTGGGGTAAAAGTGTATTTTGAATATTCCCAATTTTCGAAGTCAGTAAAAAAACCATAAAAACTGTATGAACGACTTTGTAAATTTTGTTCTATATGAATAAAAAGGCAAATTACTTGTGATCATTCTGAAGTGCCAAAGGGCCCCCCATCCCTGGCCTCTCTGAGGGCAGGAAGGGCCGTCAGAGGAGGAGCCCCTCCCTGCTGGGGAGAGGGAAGGCAGGGGCCTCCCATGCTGCTGGCTGCCTGGACGCCAGCTCCCCTCTGTCCTCTGCCCCTGGACCTTCATTCCTCCTCCCGTCTCCTCGGGTGGGTAGGGAGTCCGGCCGCAGCCCAGCTGGCCCGTGGGGTCACGGTGCTGGAGGGTGAGCCACTCTTCCAGCCGGCCAGGCTCTGAGGACCGGCCCTGGACGTAGGGCGGTCCCAGCCGGGCCAGCTCCAGATGGGGACTCCCGTGTATGTCACGGTGTGCACCTGCCACTGAGCCCCAGAGAAGCCGCCCATATTGAGGTGACAGGCTCTGGGGCTTTGATGCCAATGTGTTCTGTACCATCCCTTTGGGCTTGTTTTTTACTTTCTTTTCCTGTTTAGAGGAGTGGCCATGGATAGACCATGGGGGAGAAGGGCCGGCCTCACCGCTGTGTCGCAGAGGCGGGGCGGAGATGGGATTGGCCTGGGCGAAGGTGTGAAGTATGGTTGGTCATGTTGATCGGGGAGGCTGCATGCTTAGATTCGGGCCTGGGCTCCGAGTGAGGAAACTGTGGCCAGGGAGCAGGAAATAGGAGCATTTTGATTTTTGGTAAAGGGTCCTTTTGGAAGAGATTGGGGCAGATGCTCCCCAGGGGATGGGGAGGCTGGATAACAGAAAAGAGAGGCGGGGGAAGGAGATTGGATTCTTAGTGAAGCTAAGACAGAAACTTCACATCTCCTGGAGAAGCTGCAGGGCGTGCCTCTGGCTCTCAGGCCCTGCGGGAAGCCTCCCAGAGATAGCCAGGCCCTGGTACCTTTACCACCTTCTGCAGACAGGGAGTCTTCAAGCAGCGATCCAGAATGACAGAGTTGCTCCGGGCTGAAAGCATCTCAGGTCCTCTGAGACCCTCAGGTCTAGGCCTGAGACAGAGAAGTTGCTTGGAAACCCTGTTTCCAAAGAGCTACCTGAAAGCCTCACCTCCCCCTCCTGCCCCTTCTCGGGGACCTGAATGTAGGACCAGAGAAAGAATCGTCAGGAGTGGAGTCACTGGAGGAATCTGAGCAGCGACACTTCAGGTCCCCTCCTAGACACGGGTGATCCACTGCCCTGACCTGGCAGGAGGCAGAGCAGAGCCCACAGCTGGATCTGAGGAGCAGGGCGGCTCCCAGCTACTCCAGGCAGTCATCAGGGTGTGAGCCTGGGCCTGTGGTCAGGGGGAAGGACAGAGTCCCAGCGCTGGCCTCCTTCAGCCTTCTAGAGTTCCCAGAGATGCATGTATGGGGTGGTAACCACCCCAGGGTTGATTTCTTTCCGAAAGTCCCTAGTGTCAGGAGGGAGCCGTAGAGATGCTGCAGCTGAAGCACCTGGGAAAGGCTGTCTTTGTAATCACCTTATTTTCCTTTGGCTGCTGGGAATGGCCTGAAGTCGGTGCAGGGAGGGTCCGCTGACGTCTCTCCAGTCAGAGTGTGTGGCGCTTGGAGCTCGGATGCGTGGCAGAGGTGAGGTGGGCTGCTGCTGTGGCCCCTACAGAGCAGGCTTTGCTTTCATTCCCTGAGCACTCTGGGGAGCCAGCCCCGAAGGTCAGTGCCCCATCCCTGGGATGTCACCCCAAGGCCGGTGTTCCTCCCGGAGGTGCCCTGTGTTCTGAGGGAGAGCGTGGGTGGGAGTGTCTAGGTGATGCTCAGGTGGTTTTGCTCAGAATGAGTGTGGGAGAGAGAGAGAGGGAGTGTGAGTGTGTGTGTGTGTGTGTGTGTGAGTGTGACAGACAGCATCTTCGAGGGGAAAGTATAGTGCTTCCCAAACCCTTAGTACCCCATGGTGTCATCCTTCACCATATTTATGTTTTTGTTTTTTTTTTAACTTCCTGCCTTGGCATGAGGGGAAATGGTTGATATTCAAGCAAGTTCAAGCAAGGGAAAACAAAAAGAAAACCAGAATCTTTCCAACTTAGATTTCTGTGTCAGCCCGTAGAATGTATCTTTTTCCTGCTTTGCTCTTTGGATTTATAACTCTGTTAGACTATTCCATACATTTTAGGTATCTTTTGTGCCTTCAGACACTGCAAATAATAATCAGCATTTGGATTAAAGTTGTTTAATAATAAAACTGACTGCTCCTGACCCTCTTATTGTCTGGGGTGAGGAAGTGCTGTCTGCTGTGCCCCGGGGGGTGTCCACTGCTACACACGCTTGTGGGGGAAATTCAGCTCCCAAGGTGAGTCTCAGACATGCCTGGGCGTGGGGACACTCCAGGGGTCACTGATCCTGACCAGACGACAGCATGAGGGGCGGCAGTCCCAAGTTCCCGTTCACCTGACAAGTGAGTGCGTTTCCAAGGCTGAGATCTCAGAGGGCTGGCGGGAGCCCTGGGTTTAGCCCAGCACATGTAGTGAAGGTCCTTCCCCCCAGGCTGACTGCAGCCTGTGTGTGTGCCTCTCAGTCTGCACGCTCTGTGTCTGCAGGTGCCCTGCGGTCCCAGAGCGAGGGCACTGGCATCCTCAGAGGAACCCGGCTGGGCTTCTGGACACTGGGCTTTTACAGAGTCTATGGTGCCGTTCTCCCATGGACATTCCCTGCACCCCATCTTCCCCACAGCCTGGAGTCGGCTTCTCCACACCCCACGTGTGTGCTCCCCACCCCCACGGATGGCATCCCGGTGACCAGTGGACCTTCATGGGAAAACCAGGGTGCCCCAGGGAGGTTGGTTTTCACAGTGGAGCTCACAGCTTTGTTCTTCCGTCTCTGCACATGATAGGCTTCGAGGTAGAGGAAGCTGTCAGACTGCAGACGGGAGAGCTTGGCCCAGCCCTGCCCAGATTTCCTGAGCAGAACCCTGACTGGAGAAGCTCTCAGAGTGACTTTTTTTTTCTTAAGGAAGAGCAGCTCAGAGTTTAGGATTTGAAATCCTACAAATCTTGCCACAGCAAAACTAATTGCAAACCTATTTGTTTTCTTTTCAAGCTCAGAAAGAAGAATAACGATGCACCAAAGAAGCAAAGAGTTGTAGGTCTACCAGCCATGGGGATAAAGGAACATTTGGTCCCTCTGCCATTTCCTTTAGAACTCATTTAGTTGAATAACACACAATAGGAACAGTGTTACATATTTTACAGTATTATTAAATGTCATAATTGTACCTGGTAGTCAAATAGTCTTAAATATTTCATTTAACAACAGAGAAGGACAGTGTCTAATGGATAACACGGGGCTCTCTGTGGCCTTCTGCCTCCAACAGGGGTTGCTTCATCATGGGCCAGTGCTTTGTTTCAAGTAAAGTTTCATTCCTGTAAGCGCAAGCTTGGGAATTAGCATCGGTGTCTTAAAGCCTTGTATTGTGCACCTAGCTTTGTCAGCTCAAGATGAGATAAAAAGCTCAAAAAAATTTAATTGACCTTTCCTTGCTTCTGTTACAATAAGAGGAAGCATTTCTGTTCCTAATGTAACTGCTTTTTTTTTTTTTTGGCATTTAAAACAGTCTTTTATTTCATGCCATTAGCTGTTTTTAAAAATGTAATTATTTTTGGATTTTTGGTTCTTGTCCTGACCCCTTATACCAAGAAACTCTAGGTAAATAGTTCTTTCTTATTTTGTTCTCCTGGTATCTGAGTCGGGTTATCTGTGGGAGGGGTACACACTGCAGACAGATCAGGTGAGCTAATAGTCACTGACCACAGAGCGGAAGGGACAGCTGTCAATACGAATCACCAGCTTTCATTCTGTCTCTCAGATGAACTTGACATTGAACACTGAGCTCCAGAGAGAGACAGCATACTTCTGTGCATCTAGGAAAAACCCTAGATGCAGAAATTTGCAATGACAGTGGCCAGGACCTAAAAGAGGTGGCACCAGACAGGATTTGATCACTGAAGATGAGCGACCAAATGTCATTCAAGGAGAGATCAGCTGCCTGAAGATCCTAGCATATAGTTGCCAGGGGCAACCAGCTGTCCAAGCTCCAACTATTCACCCATGCACAGACTTATTGACACTCAAAATGAGCACACACAGATAAACCACACAGTCATGCATGCACTCACAAGCAAACATCAAGCTCTTTGCAGACACATGCACCCTACCAGGCACAGGTGTGTAATTTACACGCACAGTGATCATGTACTCCAGGGCTGCAGGCAGGTTGAGTTCTGCTCATCACACTGGAAACAGGGTCCAGGGAGGGAAAGAAGCTGTTGCAAGGCCGCTCTGCCCTGTGCACGGTTCCAGTGCAGCAATCAGCCACACAAGGCTCTGCAATCAGCCGCCCAGGAAGGAGGTGTCCCCCCTGCTAACAGTCCTCGCTCTGGCAGGCTCCCAGTGTGTGTGGCCACCATGCCCGCCAGCCCCTGCTTCCTCTGAAAGCTTGAATCCCTGAAAATTGCAAAAACATCCCCCAAATTCTCCAAGATGCCCTATTTGTTTCCAAGTAAGGCAATCCATGATCACATCCGTATCAGTGACCATGTATTGATTAGGTATCAGAATCTAGAGGCTATACTATTTCCTTTACATACAGATACTGTCTTCACCTCAGCCTTGCAAGGTAGAAATTGTTATTTAAAAGTTATAGACAGAGAAACTGAAACTCAAAAAAGTGGGGTCCCCCGTGGTCACCCCCATGGGAAACAGGTGGTGCTGGCATTCAAATCCCCCATTTGGCTCTGCGGGTGATCGGTGATTGGTGATCCTAATAGGTGATCCCTCCTCTTCCTGGGGGGAAGCGCTCATCCAGTGCTAGGCTTCTCTGTCCCCAGATACAGTGTCACCAGCACCCATAGCTTCCTCAGCCTCCACATTCGCTGTCTTCTCCCTGGTGGCCTCAGGGTGTGTGGCTTTGTAGCTTCTGTGTCCTTGCAGGGCTTGTGGCTTGTATGGGATAAATGGTTGTCCCTCACCATGGGGCTGAGGTGGGCGTGGGGTCTGCTCCTCTCTCTGAAGCCCTC